TGAGAAAGAGGCGAGGCGTCAAGGGAGCATGGCTTGTGGAGGCTATGCGGCTGACGTCATGCCCTCTCCTGCCCTTCTATCCACCTTGGGACAAACCGAACCCGCAAGCTGAGATCTAAATACATTCAACCAAGATGGGACCGATCAGAGCATATCAATAAAAAGGGAGTAAAGGAAACCGAGAGGAAATTCTGGGAAGAGAGAATGCAGGGGAAATCTGCTTAAACAATATAAAGGGCGCAAAAACAAGAAATAAAGAAGGAAAAATTGTATGATATAGTTCATTGGGGAGCTCATTGCTGTTTGAAGCTAGAACGGGGGTGCTAAGAACGAAAACATATAGGGCTAAATTCCAGAAAATAGACACTATGCGACATATGCAACCGCGAAAGGGAAACTATAAAACATGTAATTTTAAAGGGATACTACACCGAAATTCAAAAGAGCAGCATCACATCGAACATGCCAATATCTTGTTAAAAAAGTCACGAAAAGGAATTTTAAAACGAATTAAACGATTAGCAAAGAGCACCTGGTGGATGTCGCTAACGCCTCGCTTGTAATGCCCGTCTAGGAACCTTGACAGCTAGTGACGGAGGTTGTCTCGCCTCCGGCCACGACGAGAGAAGAGGGGCAGGAGGAACTCCCTTCTTCCCGAGAATGCCTTTTGTGTGTCGCAGAAGTCACTATTGTCCCCCGACAAGATTACAGACGATTAACCCGTCACTCAAAATTCGTACAAAAGCAACCGCTTCGGCTGCTGGAACGACTAGGCCATCCTCTCGACGTCAGCCTCGCCGTAGCTTTGCTCATCTTGAGACGACCTACGTCATGATTGTGTTGGATGTCACGTGGTCTCCGCTGGGCTTTATCCGAGCGCTTGCCAGAGTGGGCCGTTCACGTTGTTAGTAAACATGCGAGTTGTGACCAGGGTGTAAGATAGACAGGTGGGGAAACGGCCCATAAAAGCCTACCGCAGCGCCGTGACCGGATTGTGTACTCGTCTGCTTGCGGGTACCCCCGACTTGCGACAGATGGCGCTGCGGCGAGAGGAAAAAAATCGGAATCGGATTTGCGTGGAACTTTATGGGAGAGTGCGCAAAATAAACCGAGAGCACGACAGTCCTCTATTGAAAATCCACGAGAAACCATCTCCGTCCGTCTAGCCGGTAGCCATCGGTCGCCCACCCGGAGTGGGAGTTCGCGGTGCTCCACATACAGGGTGCGGCCGTAAAAACTTTCACATTTGGCACACCTAGCAAAAATCGAATTTCCAACATACATACCTGAAATTGGGCACACGAACGTCGTTTATTCCAAAGTTTTTTGCCTATTTTTGTCAGACGTCAACTATGGAGTAGCGAATTATTAGAAAAATAACAAAAATGGCAGACGTGCATTTCCTATGGCCTATACCCGCCCGTTCACCGTCTGCTATCTGGTTAGCGACGCCGCTCGCAGGTGGCGCACTGAACACCAAAACGCGGGAAACGCCGTACGAAAGGCTGGTGACGGGCGAAATAATCGCAATAAAAAGTGATTTTAATAAAATATATGAACGATTGTTGAGATTACCTGTTTCAAGTTAAGTTTTGACAGATGGTCATGCAAGCAAGAAGACACCAAGATGCGACGAGATCATTTATTTACAGCCTGGAATAGCAAGTGGTGCTGCTACCGTTGCAGACAAGTTCGTTTTGAGTTATCATTTCATTCTGATTTTTACAGGGTCGCTGTAACACATGAAGTTTTTTTTTTCATACAGCTTGGGTATAATTAACACACATGTCGCAGGACATATTTGTAAAAAAAAAAATAAAAAATAAATCACATTAATTGGAGCAATATTTACGGCGCTGGAGTCATTTTGGTGGGCCGGTGATAAAATGGCTTGTATTTGAGAGAAATAGTCGTCTTTTTGCTGGTTTCCCATTGGTACCTCTATCAGCAGCCTCTACTTTGATCTCCGCGTGCGGCAAGCAGCACGAAAGAAAGTAAGAGGGAAACATATAGTCTAAATTCCGTCAGGAAGTGGAAGCTGTGCGTTCATTCAATTGTGTATTCTAGAAAAATACATCTCCTGATACGCCTCTTCTGTCACGGCGATTTGAAATAATTATGATGCTGCAGCGGCCCTTTAAACGACTAGGGTTCCGCCGATTCGATGTGCCCGCCGTTTCCAGACACGCAAAGCCGAAGTCGAGCTTCGTACGCCAGGAAAGCCCTTTCGCGCATCCTATCGTCGATCTCGAGGAACGCGCCCTCAATTTTTTTTCTTTCAGCTATTCGATGCTGGGGATCCTCTTCTTGTAGAAAAGCCCTTTTATAAATCCCCATACAAAAAAGTCGCACATATTTAAGTCAACGGATCGTGGAGGCCAGTCCATGTAACCTGATCCCCGTCCCATCCACCGCCAAGGGTACGTGTTATTGAGCCATGCCTTCACAGTCTTTGCGTAATGGGGAGCCGCCCCATCCTGCGTGAATATACAGTTTTCTTTTGTCATGTGGTACCTTTCAAGCTCAGGGAGCATTTCCGTTTTCAGCATGTCCAGGTAGGCCTCTGCGTTAACGGTGCCATCGAAAAAAAAGAGGCCCACTATGCCTTCACGCCAAATCCCAGTCCACACTGTCACCTTCGGTGAATGGAGATGCCGTTCGTCCACGGCATGAGGGTTATCGCGAGCCCATATTCTGCTGCTCTGGCGGTTCACACGTCCATCTAGGTGAAAGTTTGCTTCGTCTCTAAATAAAAGAAATTTCAGGTTGTTGCTCTTAATTCGCAACAACTCGGCCTTGAAAAACTCTAAACGTCGGACGTTGTCGCCGTCGTGCAGGGCTTGGACAACTTGTATCTTATACGGGCGCAAATTATTTTTCCGCAGAATCCGTCGTACGCTTTTTTTCCGAAATTCCAAACAACCTGGCTGCTCGTCTTGTTGACAATTGAGGGTCCTTTCGAAGACAGCAAGCACCACTTCAATGAGTTCCTCATTTTTGAGCAGCCTCTCATGTTCACTGACTGGATTCTTCTTTTTAAAGTCTTCTCCACTCACTAAACGATCCGCCCAAGTCAAAATAGTCGGGCGTGAAGGCGGGAGTTTATGCAATGCAGTGCGAAATTTTCGTTGTGGTTGTCGTTGTCAAGTGGTACGTGCATGTACCACTTGACAGCCTGGGTACACTCACTTGCCGAGTATTGCGGCATCGCAGGGCGGCGCGGAAAATATTTTGATAATAACTGCAGAAGATAGTGCAACAAAAACAATAAATGGGAACAATCAAGATGCCTCAGCAGCGGCACTCTTGATTCCAGAGTTGAGCTTTCACCGGGAACGGACCCGTCAACAGATAAGCAGACGAAAAAGGAAGACACACGTTCGTCTGCTTTAGAACATATTTTTATTAAACGAGGGCGTCCACCAGTTTCTAAATTATAAGTAAAAGGGCATAATCCTTTGCATATTTCGGTAAAATCACTTTTAATCGTGATTATCTCTCCCGATACCAGCCTTTCGTGCGGCGTTTCCCGCGTTTTTGCGTTCAGTGTGCCACCTGGGAGCGGCGTCGCGAATCAGATAGCAGACGGCGAACGGGCCATAGGAAATGCACGTCTGCCATTTTTGTTATCTTTCTAATAATTCGTTACTCCCGAGTTGACGTCTGAAAAAAATAAGCAAAAAACTTTGGAATGAACGACGTTCGTGTGCCCAATTTCAGGTATGTAAGTTTGAAATTCGATTTTTGCTAGGCGTGCCAAATGTGAAAGTTTTTACGGCCGCACCCTGTAGATGGCGCCACAGAAAAAGAGAAAACCGAGGGGTACACAATTAGGGGTGTCGCGAACTTTTGTCGAACCAGATTTTTAGGTCGAACTTTCGGGGTTCGACTGGGTCGAACCAGTTCGACGAACCCTCGAACTTTTCACCAGATTCGACCGGTTCGACTTTGCGGACAGTGTGGCCAGACCTTAATACACGCATGTCTAGGTTTGGAGAATTTATTTTTATGCAAAGGGTTATTTTATTTTATGAACAGTTGGAATTAAAAGAAACCAATTCTAATCACTGAAGACGATAATAGCTTAATTTTTTTGTACTGTATTAACTGAAATAACCAATCAGCGGTGCCCTTAATTCATCCCTTAGCCATTACCATCCAATCCGAAGCCAACTGGCCAGCCTGTCGCGCATGCGCACACGAGTCGAACCTCTATACAAGGTTCGTCGAAATTTCCACGAAAAGTTCGAAAAAGTCGAACCTGGTCGAACTCGAACCTCGGCCGGTTCGCGACACCCCTATACACAATGCGGTCGCTCATTTGGCTCTCGTTTCCCCACCTGTTCATCTTACACTCTGGCTGTGACCGAACACTATTTGGAGGGGCTCTGGGATTTGCAGACAAGGATGAAGGAACGGATTAGGGAAAAAATTGCGGAAACTAAGAGGAGATTGGAAGATTGGTTGAAAAGACCTAGACAGGTGTAAAACTAGATAAAATTAGGCAATGGAAACACTTTAAAAAAGGGGGGAGTTGTTTTTTGAAACAAAATTTATATAAAAAAAGAAAAAAATAACAAAATGTGATGCTAGGCGGCGCAGGCTGCCGCCATTTACAAAGGGTACAGCCATAACCATCTATCCACCCATCCACTCGGGAGAAAACGAAACTGAACAAGTTTGGAGATTTGTTTGGAGCTGTGGTTTGGAGATTTGGGTTTGTCTTTGTCCCCCTTGTTCCCCTTCTCCAGGGATTATTTTCGTCATTCTTGTCCAGCTCCCTTGCATTTAATTTCATTATCATCAAGTTGGTAAAATCTGGAATAGTCTGACGTCAGATGATCTTGCGCTTGAAAAAAAAATATCTTTAGAGTTGTATTTCTTTACATATGCGTAGTTTAATATTGGGAAAACATTATTATTTATTAAGTAATTGTAGTTATATCACCGCTGTTGTCGGCAAGCGCTCAAATCACAATGGGCAACACTGCATTGCCTGCATTGCCTGCATTGCCGGGAACAGCAAATCGAAACGAAAAACGGGGCCACCGGGTGATATCGCGCATGGTTTGCGCATTTATGCGTGCTGTTGAACTCTTTTTGCCTGTATGAGAACGACAAAGCACACTAGTTCGTATGTGTAACATTCTAAATATTTATGTTATGTCTGTGCAGGAGTTTTACCAGCCTGCGGTTTCCTGTAGTGCACTGTCATGGAAGCCACGGACGAGGAATCTGATGCTCTTCTGGAGAAAGTGCGTCCAAACTCTGCTTCGATGACGGCGAAAAAAATACTCAAAGAAGACTTGGACTTGCACTACACAAACTTCTTCGCTAGGAGCACCGCTGACTATATCTTGGAGAGACTGGAAAAAGAAGTGGAGTATTTTACGGGAGAGCTGCTCAAGATCCAAGTCTACGGGAAGTGGCATTCGATTCCAAGGAAACAGGTGCGTTTCGTCAAGAATTTAAGGATGTGAATAGAATTTAATATTTCAATCGTAATTATCTTTTTTTTTTTCGCTTTATAGTGCATTGGTGGGAACTGACTTTAAACGCACAAGTTTGAGAGTGACTTTGGAACGGACAGGGTCGGCGACGTTTCGTTGTACGCGTGTTGGTGCAAAGCGCTTTACACAACGGTCTTGGTTCCCAAAACTTCCTTAATGATTTACTTTAGTTTTAGAATAGCACGTTGATCTTGCCATGGCAAGACAGCTTGCCTTGGCAAGACAGCTTGCCTTAAATACGTGAGTGAGAGTGATTGAAGTGTTATGTAGTTGGCTTTACCAACTCTCGGGTAGAAAAGTGCTGGATCTCATGGCAATAAATCTCCGAACCGGCCACTTATGGCGAAGAAAGTACATAATACAAAACAAGTGTAATTTGCAACTGTTCGTAGTGTAGTGGAACACGACACGCAGGCTCCGAGAGCCGGTGACGAGGTCGAAGCAGCTCGCTCCCGGCGGCTTTATTTCTAACCCACTTAAGAAACATGTGGCGCCCTCTAGGTTAGTGGCGCTGCTGTACATCTCTCCTTCTAACAAAGACAGAAGATACCGGTGACGTCTAAAACCTAAAACTCTAAAACCATCAACTCTTCCCAACACACAACGTTGGAAAGAGTATGTCTCCTCTCGTAACACAGACCGTAGTAATAGGTTGAGTCTTTTGGGGCGGACTATCACCCGACCATATCGAGACCTCTGAACTACTTCAGACTCGGGGTCCAAGGGTCTCTGACTGACGACGTCAGGGGTTGCTGGACGGCTGAGAGTCCACTGCTGCAGACCAAGAGGTCCATAAGTGACTCGTCCGACTCCCGAAGATCAGGAGGTTCTGGAACAGGCGCCACTGGAGGCTTGTACGGCACCAGATGCTTCCGGTCTTGCTGCATAACTCCTCGGGGTGTCTCCACCACGTAAGAACGTGGTCACTGCACTTCGCTCAGAACCTTGGCACCGCACTGGACTTCCGCCACCCAGACATCCTCGCCTGTAGCGAGCGAATGCAGTTCCTCTGCCGCATGTCGACGATTGAAGTCGGTGGCCTGCCGACGCTTATCTGCCTTGTCCTTGTTGAGGAAGCCCTCCGTCGATGGCCAATCGGGTCTCAGTTTCTTCGACGACTTCGGTAAGCTGGTTCGCAGCCGTCGTCCCATCACCAGCTGTGCGGGGCTGAACCCAGACGGCCCAGGGGTGTCTCTGAAGACCAGTAACGCCAGAAAAGGGTCGTCGTTCTTGGAGAAGAGGCCCTTGATCGTCCGGACCGCGCGCTCAACTTCCTCGTTGGATTGAGGATAGCGCGGGCTGCTCGTCACGTGCGAAGTCCGCAAACTCCTGAGCCGCAAACTGCGGGCCATTGTCGCTTCGGATGAGCTCTGGAATGCCAAAGCGTGACACTACACTTTTTACCGCCTCGACCACTGATGAGCACGTTGTGCTTCTTAGTGTGATCACTTCAGGGTATCATGAAAAGTAGTCAATAATCAATAGGAAGTCTTGGCCGTTAAATTGAAACAAGTCAATTCCCAGCTGCTGCCAGGGCAGCTCGGGCAAAGGTGATGGCAAGAGAGGCTCTGCACGTTGGATTTGTGTAGTCGCACACTGCTCGCAGTTCTCCACCATAGACTTGATCAGCTTGCTGATTCCTGGCCACCATACAGAGTCACGCGCTTGTCCTTCCATGACAAGCTGGCCATGAACGTTCTTAGAACTTCCAGCGCGTGCCCACCAGGGCCTGTCAGATCGCCTTCCGGACGCTTGGATGCCCGAAAACGTATTTGGAATGACGGACACCTCAGCACCACTGTCCACCTTAAAGCTCGGGGCAAGTTCGTTGACCTTGACCTCGACGAACTTGCTTCTGGGGCAGGTCGCGACTCGCCGTGCTGACAGCACCAAGTTCAATTGATGCCAACTTGCCTTTGCGGGACATACTTTGCTCGCGGGACATTCCGTGCGCGGATGAGGAGACCGTTCACAGTAGACGCCAAGAGAGGGACTTGATCCGCTTGCTGCCTGCACGCGCGCTTGTCTCGGCGGGCGGTGTCTTTTCACCTTAGCCGCATCAATGTTCAGCGCAGTGGTCGCCAATGATACCGCTGACTCTCAGAGTTTTTGTTCTGTTTCGGAATCTTCATGCTGACGCACCAGAACTAGAGCTTCCTCGAGCGTCAACTTCGAGTTTCGGCAGAATTGGTCTGATAAGTTAGTATCGAGCAGCCCGACAACAAAGCGGTCCCTTGTCAGACGGTCCTCGACTTCCGGTGGGCGGTAGTTACAACGCTTCGCCATGTTGCAAAGCGCCATGTAAAAAGAATCCGCTGACTCTCCGGACTGCTGAGTACATCTGTGGAAACGCGCGCTTTCGTATAGTTCGTTCACAGGGTGCACGGAGTAGCTGTCAAACTTTTCCTTGACCTTGGCGTAGTCGCCGAGCTCGTCCTCGCCAAGCCCGAGTGACGTCAAGACGATGCGGGCTTGAGATCTCATGCAGTACAGCAACGTCCGAGTGCGCACTTCATCCTTTGCCGTGTAGAGCCCCGAAGCAAAAGAATAGTCTTCAAACCGCAGGATCCACTGCGGCCATTAACCTGCATTTTTGAAATCGAACGGCTGCGGCGGCCGTACGACGAAGCTGCTGGCTGCGGTCATTGTAGCTTTCTGCTCCTCACTGGCCATTTTGTAGTGCAACCGTCGGCGTCGGAAGGATCGAGACTGCCGCAGTCGGCTGGAAGGCGCAAGATGAAGCGGGCCGCCACTTCTGACACCATGTAGTGGAACATGACACGCAGGGTCCGAGAGCCGGTGACGAGGTCGAGGCAGCTCGCTCCCTGCGGCTTTATTTATAACCCACTTGACAAACGCGTGGCGCCCTCCAGGTTAGTGGCGCTACTGTACACATAGTACTTCTTACCGCTTTGTCATACTGCCTTTTCTCTCACTAACCTCCTTTATGAATTATTGCTTCTATGGTTTGAGTCCAAAGGATGCATGACGTCAGCAGAGGCTGCTATGAAGCAGAAAAATTATCTCTGGTAGCCTCGAATGACAGCACACATTTCAATTAAAGTCTTGGCGGAACGTCAGCTGCCATCCTACAATCCACATGCAGTGCCTTCATCGAGCGACTGCTTGCAAGAAGGTCAGGGGCCGCTTGCTCGAAAGAATGTGACTCAGTTTCACTCAAGCGGCTAGCAGTCTTTGAGACAATGCATGCTGCGCCAATTAAGCCACCTGCTAGAAGTGGAATTGGTGCTGTCTTAGCCTAGTTTGAACTCAAATTTGGTACCTACAACGAAGTAAGTATGAAATAGTGAGAAAATCTAGGAAAATTGCGGGAAAAACTAGGAAACCAAACGGGAAAGCGACGCAACTCTACCTTTGGTCCAATAAGAAAGCGGTTTGGGAGGGACACCCCACAAGGCAGCAAGTGAACCAACAAACTTGAGTGACCGCCTTCTGCTTCGCACTCCTTTTTGGCAGATAATGATATTTCCAGTGGGGTGCAGCCGACGACACATTCAATTGTCTTATATGTGCCGTGCAAACCGTAACTGCAAGCTGCATATTTAAGCATGTTTAGAGCCTATCCGGGCGTAATCATTCCTCTTATTGAGATCATTATAGACCTTTCCACTAGAAAGAGTGGAGAGGGAAAAAAATTCCCTCCCCCTTTCACCCCGCGTGTCATCTACTCCGCCGAGTGGGCTGTACCTAACATCCGGCTGGCGTTCAAACTCGGAAATTCTAAGCGCAGATGCGCGAATTTTGATGTGCAAGTTATTGTGTAATGTTATGCTCGATAAAAAGACTAATTGAGTCTAAAGGCCCGTTCACACTCTTGCGACCTAGTAAGCCAAGAGAGACCAGGGGCCCTAATCTGGACACTTGGCGAGAAAGACAGCGAGAAACCCGGCGCCTATGATTGGCCGGCGCCAAGGTCAAGTGCGGCGTCGGCCAATCACGGCCACCAGATTTCTCGCCGACCTTTTCGCCAAGTGTCCAGCTTAGGGCCCCAGACCGGTTTTTAAGCCTCGTGCAGTCTCTTAGGACCAGCTCCGCTGCATCGCATCCGGTCCTAAGAAGTCGCAAAAGGCTTAAAAACTGGACTAGTCTCTCTCGGTCTTACTCGGTCGCAAGAGTGTGAATGGTGCTTAATTGCAATGTTACCTGCGTGCGAATAACAGAAAAAAAACTGTGTCAGAGTGGCCGGTTGCTCTGGCAGAAAGTAAATCCAGTTGCTGTAGCTGTTTTACTATGCGAAGTTCGTACTGGTGTAGGCCTTAAGCGACAATGAGTGGAAGTCTGGAATAATAAATAAAAACATGCTCTCCTGGCGCAATAGACGCAGTGGTTGAGGTGCCGGCTGACTCCACTGCTATTGAAGTAGCGGAACAAAGATACGCTAGTTGATCATTTAGTGAAAGAAAACAACAGCACTAAAGGCTGATTTTGGAGTAGCCATAACTATTCTAAGAACGCGAACCACTTCATAACGGCACCCACGAGCGAGAGTTCGATGTTCGGTACAGCCCGCCGGTACAGCCCAGAAATGGAGAACGGCAACCTCCTGGTTCGTCGTCTGCTAGCAGAGTCGGGTGCGTGCCCTCTCTCGTTTTACCCCGCCGAACCTGCTGAACTTCCCGGATGTGTGAATAGGGCACTGTGGTCTAACAAAATGGAGCTGCCCTGAGAGCGCTAAATGGAATGGTCTATATCGCCTTTTAATGTTGTCATTGACGTCTTGCAAATACATCTAAGAATAAAAGTTCCTACAAATATTTCCCTTCTTTTTGTTTTTTTTTTCTTCTTTCTAGTGGAAATAGTTTTTGATAGCTTTTATTTTGGTGCTTTTTGCAAAAAGCAGTGTTTTTTCATACACTTGTTATGGAAAAGACGCAGTTCTACCTTGGTTACTGCAACTTGTCGGAGATAAGCATGAAGCCATCGCAGCCAAACCAAGACCGTCGTTGCAGCCCCTCCTTGTCGAAAATGTCAGAGGGGTAGAAACAAAAGACCGAGAGCATACCCCCAAGTAAAAACAGCTTAGAGCCGGTGTACAGTCGCCACATCGGACATTTTGAATCATCTTAGAGCACCAGTAAGCCAGCTCCAGGTGTGTTTCAGGAGTTAAATTTGAATTGAGACAAAATCTTGGTTTGGTCTTAGAATGAGTGTCATTTCGTTTTGAGCGATCGTTTTATCTCGCTGAGACTTCCGCTTGGCTGAGACAGTCTCAGTGACAACCTTAAAAAGTTTGAGCAAGTGGCCCCTGTTTTATCTCGTTAAGACTTCCGCGCTTGGCTGAGACAGTCTCAGTGACAACCTTAAAAAGTTTGAGCAAGTGGCCCCTGATAATACCAGCAATAGTCACGGGATCGATTATGATGATCTGTGTACCATGTGGTCAGGACTATAGATGGTCAAGATATGAAAGAGGCAGGAAAATTGGAGTGGAAGAGGCTTGGGTTTGAGGCTATGAGTTTGTAGGGGATCTCGTGGAAGTGTTTTTCTGACCTATGGGTTTGCGCTGGTGACACTGTGATCTTTCTTTTTTTATTGCTTCATTTAATTAGGTTTCGTACGGAGATCCGGGAACCTCTTACAGATTTTCCGGCACGTGCCTGCCGGCGAAACAATGGACTCCCCTCTTGCTGCGTTTGAGAGATCTTGTCTCGCAGTTTGCAGGACACCACTTCAATTTTGTACTCATCAACAGGTAAGGGCTTCTGTCATCCAGAACAGGGCAAAAGTAGAAAGCAACCTTCCCACCTAACAAGAAGAGCTAACTACCTCAATTACTCTGGCCTTGAAGGTTCAAGATTCATCCTCAGTAATGAATTGCTGAAAGCATCATCTGTTATCACAATCTGTAACTCTTGGTAGTATGAAGGGGACAGAGAGAATTTAAATTGCTTTCTGTCCAAATGTGCCAGTAGTGTATGTTTCTACTGTCACAAGTAACTTTATTGAATGATTGACGAGTGTTGCCTTTAGTTGTGATATCTAGCATTCCTTTGTAGTAGTGCTGGCATCTGCTGCAAAGAAAAGTTACTGGGGCTGAAATAGACCCTTTCCGAAATTCAGTGCCATCTGGTGGTTTGTAAAGCAGTTTAGGTTTTGCCATATCAATGGCGGAAATGAACTTGTATCAGCACCGTCACTTTCGCAAGTCAACGGCACGCGAGGAATTGTCCAGTGTGAGTTCTTTCTCGATCACCTTCAGTTCGATGATGACCAAGAACCTGCATTCAGAACAAAGCTCCAACCCACTCAGATGCCCCGAGAAAATTATATACACCCAAGTGCTTTAAAGCCGATTGTGTGCCGCCCACAGATTGACTGAATCTGAGTTATTAGAAATAAACGCTTACGTAGCTCTTGTGTTCCATTCCCACATCGCGTCGTACTGACCCCCCGAATGTACAGGCCTCGCATCATCCGCTTAGGAGCATCTTCAACGTCTTCCTTTATGAGTCACTAGGAGGCCGCCATTGGTATGGCACAGATGCCGTTCCATTGATGATGATAGTGATCAAAGTGGCCAGACTGAATTTCGGGAAGGGTCTATCTATTGGTGGAGTTTCCACACCAGAGACAGCAAATAAAGACATTGGTAGTGTAACCTGGGGCAGCACTTCTCACACTTTGTGTCACTGCAGGCTCCCAACTATCTTGGTGGTCATTTGCAGACGCCCATTGAATATGTTCATATCACAGCAATGTGTTGAACACATTAGTGAACTTAACTTGCTGTGGACTGGAGAAAATTGCAGTTGTCAGTCTGGCTGAATAAAATTCATGTTTATGGGCTTAGGCTTCCTATACACGAATTCAACTCTGTTACGTCACGCCACGGTGGTGACGCTTTGGGCGGACTTCCGGTCTGGGGCGGTGGGCGGAAGACACCGTATGAGACACGCATTCCTGTGTTCTTTTGGAAGAAATCAGACAAAAAACCTGCCTTCTCGTCAAAATGCTGCGACGGGGGCTGTACCAAAAGAGTCGGGAAAGGTTTGAAGATCAGTTTTCATGTGTTTCTGCCCCCTCCGTTCGTCCGAGAACGTGGACTGGGGCCGTGAAAAGGGCAAACCAGACGCTGTCGAACTACAATTGCTTGTGTGGGCAACACTTTGGGTTGAATTCACAGATACATGTGGTCGCCAGATGTATTTGTTTTGTTCCAACATGAACGAGGGAAAACCGCCAAGTTGTCTGGACCCTTCCCCCAAGGTTAAGTGCATCTTCAGATTCAAAGGGCCGCCTGATCGTCCGAACTGTCATCTGCTCGTTCAAACAAAAGCGGCGCATAGGCCAAGCTTTGACCCAGTGATTGCGATAAGAAGTAATTGCAGGCTTTAAAAGACTTTTAAGTGGGCTTGGTGTAAACAGTAGATACAAGATGTTGACCATTAATACCAGTGGCCATCGCCGACTTGTTACGCCTGATTCACTTGGTCTCTTCCCGCTTCCGATTTTCAGTATCGTCGTCGATCATCGTCGCTACCGTCTACACTTTCGCAGCACGAGCGACGTTACAACTGAAAATAGCTAGAAGAATCGCATCATGGTTATGGTTCCATTCTGCCTCTTTCACGCGAATGAATCGCCGCACGTCAAACTATTTAAGCAAAGTGTAGTGGCATAACGAGCCTTTATAATTTCGCTCAGACGACTCAAGTGGTAAGACATTGCTATGAGGACGTAGAATCGACAATTCCAACTCGGAAAAGAGTACGCAGACTGACACAGACGCCGACAACGTGACATGCCAATGGTTTGTTGACGCGAGACACGGTGCTTCTTACCCACACTCCATTGCGAATACGTTCGAACTGTGGTCTGCTCTTTCAAACGTGTCTGCTTTTTGTTGTCTGCTTGTTCAAATGACAGCGGCCCGTAAATCAAACGTTGACCCGGTAATTGCGATATGAAGTAAGTGCAGGCCTCAATACTTTTTTAAGTCTGAGGGTTGGTTGGGTTAAGTAGGCTCAGTGTAAACAGTAGATACAAGGAGATGTTGATCATTGTTACCAGTGGCCATCACCGACTTGTAATGTCCGATTCTACTTGCAATTTTCAGTATGGACGTCTACTAGCTCAGCTAAGGTTCACACTTTTGCAGCCCGAGCGAATTCGCGACTTAAAATAGTGAGCAGAATCTCATCGTGGGAGTTAGGCTTTAGCACCGGTTCTGCGGCGTCCACGTGAAATGAATCGCCGCACATCACATTATTCACGCAAAGTTTTACAGTGTATCGAGCCTCAATAACTTTGCTGAAGCCGCTCAAGTAGTCGGACATTGTTAGGAGGACGTAGAATCAACAATTTTAACACGAAATAGAGCACAGAGACTCACACCGACACCGACAACATTGCATTTCAATTGTTTGTTTATGGACGACGGCAAGCTTTTTGCCTCCCTCCATTGCGCATGGGCGGCGCCGGTGGCATCCGCTTGGGGCGCTCCAGTTTGTTTGTTAACGTGAGTTGGTATACAGACGAGCCCAGACAAAGCGTTCTCACAGTGGAAAGCGAAATTTACAACGCTCCAAATGCTTTCTCCAAGAAAGCCTGCAATAAAAATGCACTCGCAACTAGAAGCCAGCAAGAGTGCACTGTAACAAGTGGGAACGGTATTTTAGCTACATAGATGATTGGTCCGACGATTTCAACCCTCTTCGGTGCCTGGCCTTTTCCGGGGGAACGACCCCCACATGAGTGCGGACCCCTGCCAATGTTGCCAGAGGCCTTGGGGGGGGGGGGGGGGGGGGGGGGGGCAAACGTTTTTGATTGCCCTGACTTGCTTAAAGTGACCGTATTCCTCGGGCCCCAAAGCGGGACGCGTATTGGGAGGGGGGTGGGGGGGGGGGGGGTAGTTGTGTTGCGAGGCTTGAAAATTTTAAATTTTGGTAACAAATCATATCCTTTTAGTATTTCATATAGACCGTACACATTTCTTTTCATGCACATTTCATGCACAATACATTTGGTTGGAATATTTGATGTATTTATTTTTGCACATAACATGCCCATATAGTATCATCATCATCTCTGACAAGCGGATCTTGCACATTGTTCAGAGAAAGCACCCTTTCACTGGTGCAATTTTTTCGTCTAGTCGCGTCTTTTATCTATTCGCACTTCGGGAAAGCCGAAGCGGGACAAAACACGGTCCCACAAGCACGCTTGTGGGACAGTGGGACCACGGACGGAAAAGCGGGACCTGTCCCGCCTAAATCGGGATGTCTGGTCACTGTCACTTGCTTCCATCAAACTTTTGTACTATGGATTCCATTACTATAGAATGTGGTGGCATTGTCAAAATTATTGATGGCCTTGAACTATCCTCATCATTTGGCACTGACAGTATAAACTCAAAAGTTTTAAAAAAACACTCAAATGTACTTTTTTGTTATTCTAACTAAGCTTTTCAAGCAATCCCTCAATCTTGGTACTCTTCCCTGGGACTGGAAGGTAGGGAAGGTGATTTCGGTCCATAAAAGTGGCGATAAGTCTAGCCTTAGTAATTATCGTCCCATTTCATTAATGAGCATCTCCTGCAAACTTCTGGAACACATACCTTACTCTCATCTTGTTGCTTTCCCTAATTCTAGTTCTTTTTTTACCTCTGCTCAACATAGATTTAGGAAATTATTCTCGTGCGAATCTCAATTGTTAACACTTGCTCACAATCTTCACGTCGCTCTTGATCATTCTTCTGTGATAGATTGTGTAATTTTAGACTTCTCAGTTTCACACTGGTGGCTTCTTCATAAACTCACTGTCCTTAACATAGAACCCTATGTTTTAGCTTAAATTGATTTCTTTTTAACTAACCACTTACAATTTGTCCATGTTAACCCTTTAACGCCGAATTTATTTTTCAGTCGACTAAAAAAATACGTTTTTGCGGGAATGTGGTGCTTAAGGTGCTCTTAAAAAGATACAAACATTGTGAATTGTGACGGGTACCCTATTTGGCTAAAAGAGGTATGTCGCGAATTCGCGACAGCAGGCCACGAAGTCAATAATTTCACCACGCCATCTGAATAAAATTAATTTTTTTCACCAATAATATTAGCGTAGTAAAAAAAAAAGTCTCGAAAGGAGTGGAACAAAATTTTGCTTATTGCGTTCCCAGAACAAACAAGCAGCACAGAAAGCACCTGGCTTCTACTTTATGGCTGATGGAAATCAAAGAAGCAGTTGGTGTTCTTGTTGAGGCGAAGATGTGCGTTGCATTTGCTGCACATTACGTTGGTATGTCCCTTGCAACCAGGTTTCTTGCATCGCTGTCTCGTGCCCTTGACAACCGGCCAATGTCCTGTGCTGTCCGTGCGGACGTCCTCGTTGGGGATGTGGCTCGTGGTTCCTCGTCGCTTCTTCATTTCGAGTTGAGCTTGAAGAGAGCCGGACGGTCGTCCCCGCTTCTTTGAGGAGAGGTCCTTTCCTTGTTTGCAGAGGGCTTCCGCAATTCCAAGCCGGAATTTCAGCAGGTCTCTCTGCTTATTCTTTAGAACGCCCAGTGACTGACAGTCTCGTCGGTAGAGGAGCCAGCTCACAACAAATCACCGTGTCCAAGAAGTGAAAAAAAAGCTTGAGGTAAAATTTGTTTGACCTCAACTGGATCTGATAGTATGCTATCAGTGCATCAAGGAGATCAACACCTCCCATGTACAGGGTGTCACAAAAGAAAATTTACACAGTCTTTTTTAC